GCATCCTCTCAGTCTTCCTTAGGTCTTTAATGGCCACTTTAATTTCTCTGCTTCTTTCTCCTCTACTCTCCCTGCCACACCCTCCAGATTTGTTAGGATTGAGGAACGGGGCCTGGGGAATGGAGCTTTGAACATGACTTGAACGTTTGGATGTCTGAGAGCCTTCCTCACAGCCAGCTCTGCAAGAAAGTTCCCCAGAAGAGGATGCCTTTGCTGACGTCCTCTGTGAGATGTACCTGTAAGAGTGCCATGTTAATTATACACATATTCTCCCTCCCTCTCTCCCTCCCTCCTTCCCTCCCTTCCTTCCTTCTCAGGTTAGCATGCACACACAAGTCTAAATATTTACATGGGTTTTGAACCTTTCAGCATAGGGCCCTTGAGTAAACAAGCATTCTCACAATGTTGTCAATGCTCATACCTTAAAACAACAACAAAACCAGAAAACTTTCCGGAATGCCCTTCAAAGTGTCAGGATATTATTTTGAAAACCTTCATGCCTGTGACTCAGTCTTCAAGGGAATTTTCCTTTAGTCAATTTTGCTGAGGTCTGGTTTGCCTAGAATAAAATGCAGAGGCTTTAAGTACAGACTCTACCTGTATAAATATCACTGCTATAAAAATGTAGATGACTTCAACCACATCAGAAAGTCCCTGTATACATAGTTGCAAATCTTTAACTTTTGCTGTTTGGGTTTGGAATACTCAGGAGCCACTCTGAGTGAGCCAAGGAAGGAAGGGGGACAGCTGAACCACGCTTGCAGTTTACAGCCATGTCAAAGGGGGATTCTATAAATGACAGAAACTGGTCATTGTGATGAACCTGCAGCACCCTGAGTGGCTCATCTCATGACTCTAGACCATAGGTTACTGTGATGTTTTGAAGACGTGATGCTCACCTGCCTCCTCTCAACCAGGTATTGCTTCAAACACTAGGGGATTAATTGTTCTAAAAATCTCCATCATATTTTCTCCTGGAAGTCTAGAGCCTGTTGGGGAAATATCAATAAAGGGGAAATCTTGTGTGTTATACAATCTATAGAAGCAAGGAATGCCTGGGAAAGGAACGAGAATGGATGGATGAGATGGAAAGTGGCTGATCGTAGTAATGAATCTCTGTTTACCTTTCCTTATCTTTCTGTGGAGTATTTTGGAGCGTTCTTTCTTTTGTTAAATGGAGCGGTATGAAGCACTTAGCTTCTTATAGATAAAGAAGGGTGGGCCGGGTTCTGGGATCTCAGGCAAGTAAAGAATTTGCCTGGAAAGCAGAAAAGCCAGAGTTTGATCTCCAGCATCCATGTAAAAAACCATGTGTGGTGCTGTGAGCTTGTAAGCCCAGTGCTGGAGAGGCAGACACAGTGGATCCCTGGAGCTCCATGGCCAGCAAGCCTTGCCTAATTCACCACCTCCAAGTCCCGGCGAGAGTCACTGACTCAAAAACAAGGCAGGTGGCTCCTAAGGGGTTGACTTCAGATCTTCATGTATTATGCACACGCAAGCACGCACAAGCATAAGTGCGCGCGCGCGCACACACACACACACACACACACACACACACATACACACAAAGGTATATGGGGGAAATTGGCTTAAACAAAGCTGAAAAGGTCTGTAATGAAACCTTTGACATGCTAACATAATTGCAGATTTTCCTGGGGGATGGCTACAGTATGCACCAATCTCCAGACGTTTTTCTCCTGGGAATCCCACTGGATTTGGAGTGTGTGGAGCAAGGAGCCATCTTTGGAACACCCTGAACATAGCACATAAAGCTACCGCTTCTCATGGCGCAGAACTGAAAGCCATAGAGAAAAAGTTCATTACTAGGTGTGAGGAAGGGAATGAGTTCGGGCAGCTTGTGGATCCAGCATGGAGCCAGGAGTCCCAAACACAGCCTCTGGGTAATCCTTTCCACTGGAGTGTTTTCACTCCTGGGCACTGTTGAAAGAACTGTGGCTCAGAGTGACCCGTTGGTACCCAAAGAGTCCATGCAGAGCCAGGGTCCGAACCTAGGCCTGTTTGACTCCCAAACCCAAAAGTTCGTACACCAGGTTGGCTGCCCTGAGTGAAGTAGAGGGAGATTGTAACCCAGCTAGCACACCCCCACTTCTCCACTGTTAATCTACATGTACCCTCAAGCCATGCCCTCTTCAGGGGTTGGTATTCACCACTTCTTTTTTTCCCACTGGCAGGTGGTCATTTTTTTCCTCTCCTGGTGGTTATGAGTATTTGGTAAGTCAGAGCAGACAAAGACATGGTCTCCTGGTTCTATCCTCATGAAATAGTATGCACAGCCAGGTGCCTGTGACCCTGGGTGTGGCCCCTTCCAGCAAGCTCTGTCAACCCACCCCTCTCTGGCTTTCTCTTTCCCCGGCATTTTCTCCTGCTGTTACAGTAGCACATCTCATCTGTCTTCATCTGCTGCATCCCCTGGTGTATGGGGCTCAGACCCACATCAGCACCTCTGCCAGAGCATCCATGAGGTGTCCAATCTGGCCACAGCTGCAGTGGCTACCACTGGCGTGAGAATTGTGACAAAAGGACATGGAAAGCGTCCTCACTATAGCCCGGGAGTGAAGATGCGGAAATCTAGCACTTACTGGAAATAGCAAAGGCGTATCTTTCAGGAAAGGCTTTGAGCCAGTTTCTCTCCCACCATCCCCATCTTCCTCTCAGGAGACAACAGAGGAAGTTTGTAGGAATTACTCACGCCTGTTAATTCAGTACTAATTGAAAGGAAGAGAGATGGGTCTTCTCTAAACTCAACCCTCAGAAACTAAAGTATACTAACTCTGACCCCGATATTCTTCCTTCTCACACTGTGCTTCTCTTGGGCCCCCTTTTACCTATGGCCTTGCATCCTTGGCTTCTGTACTTTCTTCCATTTAGAGTCAACGACAGCTCAACTTCCGTGGGAGTCTTTGATCTGGTCCCTTCTCACGTGTCCTGTGAGACTTCCCTAGTAACACCAATACCAACAACGATACCTTTATCCTATCTTCACTAATATTCTCTGGCCTAGTTAGTATCATCTGTCAACTTGACATCACCACTCCCTCAAAGAATGTTTGTTGCGTAATTGTCTTTATGGAGTTGATCTGTGGGCATGTCTGTGTGGGGTTGACTTGATTGTGAGTTAATGTAGGAGAGCTCACCCCACCATGACGGTACCCACCGTTCCCTGGGAAGGTGATCCTGTGCTGTGAGAATGAGTCTGAGAAAGTCAGAGGGCAAAGCTTCTCATGACTTCTGCTTCAAATCCCTGTTTGACTTTCTGCAATGACCACAGTTTCTCCATTTTGGAAAACAAACTGGGACAAAAACTCACTCTCAAAAACTATTTTATCATAATATATTAAAAATAGAGGCTGGAGAGATGGCTCCATGGTTCAGAGCACTGGCTGCTCTTCCAGAGGTCCTGAGTTCAATTCCCAGCAACCACATGGTGGCTCACAACCATCTGTAATGAGATCTGATGCCCTCCTCTGGTGTATCTGAAGACAGCTACAGTGTTCTCATATACATAAAATAAATGTTTAAAAAGTATTAAAACTATTCCAGCCAATGAAAGAAAACACAAGAGACACTTTCTGAGAGGCAGGACTGGAGAGATTCCTCTGGCCCCCAGTAGGCTCGCTGCTGCTTCTGGTGAGGGAGCTGGGGCTCAGAGGCAGGCAGCAGTTTGAAGAGGTATCTATTTTCCTGAGTACTGTGGCCTTCTTGAATTTAGAGGCCGTGAATACAGATGGACATGCAGTGAGTTCTGGACTCTGTCACAGAAGCCTCAAGTTGGCCTTGCCAAGGCTCTGTCCTAGCAGCTGGGAAATTCCACAGGTGGAGGGAGGCCCCAGCTCAGTTTTTGGAGGGAAACGACCATGAAGGTGGAGTCTCAGTTGCTCTTCTCAGACACCAGCCCTTCAATTCAGAGAATAACTTTGGCAGAGTATGAAACATAACAGCACCCTACCCTTCCCTGGAGGAAAAACGCTCCCCAAAGGAAACCTTCCAAGCATAGCTTAAGGATGTGGGACTTGCGGCTTGGTGCCTGTTCATGCAACAGCTGAGATCCTAGTAGGACACACCCTAGAGCTGAGGACAGCATCAAATTCTTCTTCCATATTTGCAACATGATATCTAACCCTGTCCAATATGGAACTCACGTTTACTCAGTACACACAGGACAAGGCATTTGAGGCCAGCTAGGACACAGTGACAATTAACCTTTGATTATTTCTCCAAGGCCTTGAGTATCATCCAGAGGGGAACATGACCAGTCAGAAATGTTCTTGGTAAGAGGTCAAGATAGCGCTGATAAAAACCCCGGTAAGACAGAATGAGGATATCCATTTAAGTAGGTGGTTGGAAGATTCTGTCAAACCACCTTCCTGGAGACATAAGAACTTCCTGGGCCTTGAAGGATGGAGGTTGGGAATGGAGGACATGCCAGGAGAAGCGGAGCATCCAAACCGAGGTCCAGATTGAGTAAAGAATGACCTTCAGCCCTCTCAGGGCACAAGACGAAGACCAACTAGCAGTCCATGATAAAATTACAATATGGTTAGGGAGAAACTCAAGGTGGCAAAGGCCACTGACACTTGTCTAAGTGGGAGGACCTTGCTTGTGAATGGCATTCCCCATGGTTTTAGTGGGCTCTTTGTGACAACAGTTATAGCCCATTAGGTAGAGTGCTTGCCCTGGTATACACAAAGCCTTAGTTTCAACCCCCAGCACAGCATGGAAACAGAATGTGGTAGCACAGGCCTGTGAGCTCAGCACAGAGTAGAGGCAGAAGGGTCAGAAGTTCAAGGTCATCCTCAGCTTCAAAGAGAGTTTCAAGCCAACTTGGGAGACAAGAGATAGGGTCTCACTCTCAGATCCATCCAGGGAAGTATTTCCATGAGAAGACAGTACCAATTGCCCCAGAGAGCCCTGGATAGAAGATTGGGCAGGTACCTGGGACACTGGGCAGAGACCTCACAGGCCTGTCGTCTATCACCCAGGTATTCGTGCTTTGCCATGGCCTGCTACAGCTCTGTCAGCTGCTCTACAGTGCCTACTTCAAGAGCAGCCTCACCACGATCGAGAAACGCTTCGGGCTCTCCAGTTCTTCCTCCGGTCTCATCTCCAGTTTGAATGAGGTGAGTGGGAGGCCTTTTATTCTAATAGATTTTTTTAAAGTTATATTTGCTTATTGTATGTGTGAGTGTTTTGCCTGCATGTATGTATGTGTAGCACATAGATGTTTGGTGTCTGAGGAGACCAGGAGAAGGCATTGGAGTGCCTAGAACTGGAGTTATGGATGACTGTGAACCATTATGTAGGTGGTGGGAATTGAACCTGGGCCTTTTGCAAGAGCAACAAGTGCTGTTAAGTACTGACCCATCTCTCCAGCCCTGAGTGGGAAGCTCTTGACAATATTTCATTGTAGGTACTGTCCTAACCCCTGAGAGGTGCATATCAGGGGTGGGGTTTACATCCTAGTGCAGGACACCACCCCTAAATTTTGGCCTTTGATTTAATATTGTCCTCATAGACAACAGACAGCAAGGAAACAAACCTTTGAGATTTATGTCACCAAAGCCCGGCCCTGGTTCTTGAATGTATCACAAGTCACCCACAGTTCTTGATGAGTCCAGACGCAGCCTCTGGATTCATCTCACACCATGTTCTAGGCTCCTTGACTAAACAAATGAGATCTAGCATATGGGACAGACCCTCTCTTACAGCAGTCAAGAGGACCCAAAACGATGATTCCACACGTAAGCTTTTATCTGCATCATTGAATGCTTGGAATAAAGCTGTGGTCCAGGAACACATGGAGTCTGAAGGCTGCTGCTGCTGCTGCTGCTGCTGGTGGTGGTGGTGGTGTGTGTGGCCAGGGGTGTGTAAAGGAAGTCCAGCCTAGTGCAGGGATGGGTGAGGTCATCTGAGTGTGTAGTGAGTACAGACCTTCAGACTGAAGCTCCAATCTCAAAGCCTTCCTTGGCCCAGGTGATATGAAAGGATACAGAATGCCTATGGTAGTTCAAGGGGCTTGAACAGAGAACCCATGGGTAACTTGGCCTTGACAAGCAGCTGCTCCTATTGTCCACTCTGACACGACACTGAAGGATGAACAGACAAGGTGGGTTGGATCCCTAGAGCCCTAGGTACCTCTAGTACCTAGAGCCCTTTGTTTTTTGCAACCCAGAAGGGCAGAGTGTGCTATTAATGGGCTTTATGCCAGACTGCAAATGTTTAACACCAGCACATAGACGGAGCTGTTCTAGAGGCACTCTGAGGGTGAGGCCTGGAGTCCTCTCCTTGGCTAGAACAACTGCAGTTTTGAGGTGTGCTTTTAAATGGGAAAAGAATGAATAACTCTCTCAAAGGTGCACTTCTGAAGAAAACTTTCGGAGCAAAAGCCAATACCCAAGCAGGTCTAGCGACCCACAAAGAAACCAGTCCTAGCTTCTGCAGATGAGTGCAGGCCCACACGTTCCCACCATTCTTCCTCAGTTTGTTTTGCAGCCCTCCACCATCTGTCATGCACATGCTCTTTCGAGTCAGCTTACAACTGAAATGGTCTGACGCTTCAGTCCACGTACGAAAAATAATAGCAAAGCAAAAAGGAAAGAAATGAAACCCAAGAAGCTCAAGAAGAGGCTTCCCCTCACTCTGGATATCCATTGCAGAATGTTCTAGAACCCTCAAGCTGGAAGGCTCCCTGCTAAAGCCAGGAGGCTGTCTCCTCATACACCTCACATACCCTTACACCCTCCTCTATGTGCCGCAGCCTCTGTCTGACGGTCATGCTCCTTGACACACGTTAACGAGCATCAACTTTGGGCCAGACACTGTCCTGGATGCTGTGGAGGCAGAAAGGAACAGATGGGCAAAAAGCTAAGACGAAAGTGTAGAGATAAATCTCTCATAGGTAGGCGGTAGGCTCCATGAGAAGGGGGTGAGGGAGAGGCAGGACATGCAGGGTCAAAGTGGTAGACTCAAAGAAACATTCCTAAGGACCATGAGGAACACAGTACTCCTGATGTCCACACTGGACAGGACTTGGAAGTGGTATGGTCCTTGTCCTTTGTTTTGAAGAATTTAAGATAGTGATGGGGGATGCAGAGTTATTGAGTCAGAAGCCCATTCTTCCAGAAGATTGCTTTACAATGGTGTAGACAATCTAAAATGGGCCTCTGTGGTTCAGGTTACCTCCTGACTTCATGAGTGGAGGTATAACACTGTTTGACTGTCAAGTTCTAGTTTTCTTTCAGTTGCTGTGATAAAACCATGACCAAAAGAAACTTGGAGAAGAGAGGGCTTATCTAGCTTACTCTTCCACACTAGGCTATCCTCACAGGAAGTCAGGGTAGGGTCTGAAGCTGGAGCAGAGGCAGAGATGATACAGGAAAGCTTCTCGCTTCCTTCCTCCTTCAGCTTGTTCAACTTGCTTTGTTATTACAACCCAGGACCACCTGACCAGAAATGGCATCACCCACGTTAGGCCAGCCCCTCCCACATTAATCATTAATCAAGGAAGATGTCCCACAGACTTGTCTACAGGCCAACTGATAGAGATATTTTCTCGCTTGAAGTTTCCTCTTCCCAGATGACCCGAGTTCGTCTGCTGGTTAAAAGATTAACCAGCAGAAAGTATGAATTGAGAGTAGTTGCATGGTGCTTGGGGCCATGCACATTGCTTGGTTGTTCTTCTGATGTTCAGTCCAGAGTCCCTGGGTCCATTACTTTGGACCTCATTCAACTTAGAAGTTTAATTTAAAAAAAAAATATGCAGTGCTGGAGAGATGGCTCAGTGGTTAAGAGCACTTACTGCTCTTCCAGAGGTCCTGAGTTCAATTCACAGTACCTACATGGTGGTTCACAACCATCTGTAATGGGATCTGATGCCTCTTCTGGTCTGGTGTGTCTGAAGATAGCTACAGTGTATTCATATATATAAAATAAATAAAATCTCATATATATACATATATGTATATATATATACATATATATATATATTACTCCAGCACCCAGTCAGATTTGGAGGCTTCCTTGGGGTTTGCCCCAAAAGACTTTTCTAGAAGGGCTAGGGAGAGAGCGCAGTTGGTAAGGTGCTGTTTATGCAAGCATGATGACCTAGTTGTCCCATCCCTAGAACCTACGTTTAAAAAGCCAGGTGTAGTAGTGACATGTGTCTATACTTCTAGAGCTTCTAGAGTTGGGGATGTGGAGAGAGAGAGAGAGAGAGAGAGAGAGAGAGAGAGAGAGAGAGAGAGAGAGGTGAATAGCATACACACACACACACACACACACACACACACACGTGTGAGCACACCCACTTGCCAACATTTGCATCCTACATATAGAAACTCAGGTTTCTATATAGATGCTCAATGTTTAGATTAGTTCATCATGTTTTCAGATAATTTCATTGGATTGGTTCAAAAAGCTGAGGCCGAGATGGGTTTCTGATGTCGGAGGGAAAGCGGATGCTTGTGAATCTACAGCATAAGCAAGTCCGACTGGGCCAGGCTAGTGTGGCTTTGTCAGGGACTGGACGAATGCTGGGAGACCCCTTCCCTGTATGTTCTCCCTAGATGAGCTATGGTGGGTCTCTTCTTAGCTGGAGGAGAATGGGACCTGACTCTCACTGAATCCCCTGTTCTCCTCTGCAGATCAGCAACGCTACCCTCATCATCTTTGTCAGCTACTTTGGCAGCCGAGTGAACCGCCCACGGATGATCGGCATAGGGGGTCTCCTCCTGGCTGCAGGGGCCTTTGTCCTCACTCTCCCACACTTTCTGTCAGAACCCTATCAGTACACCTCAACTACGGCTGGTGAGTGGCCCTGACTCCTGTCTTGAGGAGCTGAGGCAGGGAGAGAACCGTGCAGAGTAGATGGTGGTGCTCCTGGGTTGCGGTTTCTTCTCTCTCCCACTAGAGACTGTCCTTGATTTTAGCAGTTCAGTTTCTCTGCAGACCACATCTGAAGTGCAGACCCTGCTGAGGCATACAGGAGTATGAAGTAGTCCAGCTACCTGGTTACTGGCCTGTTGAGGATGTGATTGCTGTCCTTTCCCTGTGACTCCTTGTGCTTTGTGCCCTAGTCAATCCAAACTTCACCTGCCTAGAACCAGAACCCAGAGAGGCTTAGAGAGATGAGGGCCTGAATGTGGGACATGAGGAAGTCTGGGGATTTTCTGGATGTTCCATGATTGCTGCACCTGTCAATTTTACCTCAACTTACATATCGTTTATATGGCCCACTCATTGATGCCAGGACATTAGTGGAGTGCAGGAAAAAAAAGTTATAATAAGAAGTCTTATGTAACTTCTCCTGGGAAAACATGAACAAATGTCTCTTCACTCCACATTAGACACTATGACAACCCAAAGCGATGATTCTACTCAACTCTAGTTGGTGAACCAATAAATTTATTCAGGTTAATTACAGGAGTATTGGTAAGAAATTATAGGAATATGGGTAATTCAAAGGCAGCCACATCACCAAAAGACACACCCATCATGGATGAAGACTCACAAAAGCTGTATCTTTGGAACCGCCTAGAAACTTGTAGGCAACTCTAACAGAGAGTCACCTCTTTCCCAGCAATTGATCTCTGCTTTATATGACCTTGGAGGAGGCTTTGTAAATCTTGTAATTTTCATGAACTTCTGAGCCATACAAGTTTCTATAGCTCACTTCATCTTAAGAGCTCCCTTCTTCCTCTAACCTGAAGAGAATGTTTCAGGTGGGAAGAAATAGCTACATAGTAGGTCTTGACAATTCAAGATACTCAGATACCAACCATTTCATGATTCAAGTATCTAAGAAAAAAAGAGAAGAAAGGTGTGGGGAGGTCCTCTCTCCTGACCTTCAGATAGGGATTCTTTCTGTGACTCAAACTTCTGCATTTTATTGGGATGTCTTGTGACAGAATGAAATAGACCAAGATTTTTTTGTGGTTAAACATGGTATTGATTAGAACGGAAGTATCTATGAAAAGGTAACTTCTCCTTACATTTTATTTTTTAATTATTTAATTAGCACATATTAATTATACATAATAGGCTTCACTGGGACATTTCCATACATGTACATGATGTACTTTGATCATATTCACGTTCTTTCTCCCACCCTTACTAATCTTGTTTCTTTTCTACTGTTTCTTGTGTGTGTGTGTGTGAATTTCGTTAGGGCTGATTAAAGGAGTATAAGTGAGGTTCGTTTATAAGAACATGGACATTTTACCAGAGGCTCCCCTCTGAAGAAAATGTTGCTCTCTTCTCTGCCAACCCATTAACTAATTGTAAATTGTTGTTGTTTTAAATTGTTTACTGTAAGACTTTATACAAATTCTAGATAGCTCTTTGTTGACATAAGCTTTACAAATATTTCCTCCCAGTCTCTAACTCATCATGCATTTTCTTTTAACAGAATATATATCACTTCCAGAACAGAAAGAGGTTTTAATTTTAACAAAATTCAATTTTTCCTTATTTTTTCCTTCCATGACTCATCCTTTTGGTACTGCACTTAAAATCTCTGCTTGACCCCAAGAGAGAGATTTTCTACGTACTTTCATGGGGCGTCTCCATTTTTTGTATTTGCATATAGGCTTACGATCTGTTTTGAGTCAACCATTTATTTATAAATGTTTAAGTTTTCACTTCTGTGTATGAATATCACTCTTTCAGAACAATTTATTACAAAACTGTCTTTTCACCATACCATAATATTGTGCCATTATAGCAGATAAATTGTCTTGGGCTAAGGCTGCAGGTCAGTGGTAGAAAGCTGGCCCACAATGCACCAGACCCTGAGTTCTACCACCAACACAGAGAATTAAGTTGGCCGTGTCTATGAGTTCATATCTGGATTTCCTCCCCATGGATCTGGGTGTCACCTTTGCCAGTACTACAAGCTTCTCTTTCCCTGGTGTATTATTCAATTTCAATATATATATTATTTCAATACCATATGTATATATATATTATTGTGGGGAAAATTTAAAAAGGCCGCCACAGCGGCGCAAGCCCCGGAGGGGCTTCCGCCATCGTGGCAGGTCCCAAATTAGGGAAGAAGTCCTATGGTTCCAGCGGCCTGAGGGCCTTGGCGGCGGCAGGCCCCAGTAACACAAGGAAGTCCTTGGTTCCAAAACGGTTTATTGTCATGGTGGATAATAGATGGATCTAGGCGTACCCCCAAAAACTCAGGGCCGTCCCGAGTTATATAGGGAGGGAGAAAGGGGGAGGATTGGGGGAGGATCTGGGGGAGGCATGTTTAATTTGCTCTGCCCTCTGGCTTTCATTAGTATGTAAATCCCTAGGGCCTGAGGCCTATAGTCTGGCCTATGTGACTCTATGGAGACCGTGACTGCTTTTCAGGATCCTGGATGATGGGGGGGACCCGAACTCCTGCTGGTTCTTGCGCAGAATTCCACGCAGAATCTCGGGGTTCTAGGCACCTGCTCAACCATGACCCAGGATACCCTTACGCAGTCCCACATATTATATATATTATACATTATATATGTTATATATATAATATGTATTGGAATATATACATTACATATATAACATTATATATATAAACTTTGAGATCTAGTTATTTATATTCATAAGAAAAATATTTCTCTGGAATTTTGATTGGGACTGCATTAAATCTATAGTCAATCGGCACTCCTGTTATATGTAATCTTCTCAGTCTTAAACAGTGTAGCTTGCTGCTGCCCTGTGTTCAACACTGATTGATGACTGAACAGGCTCTAAGCTGATGAACGCCTTTATCCTCCAGGAGAACATAGTCCCTTGATCCCTTAATGCCCACTGTCCATCATGGCTGCCCAGTGCTATGGACACTTCTAGCTTACCCTCCCCACCCTGCTCAGCGCTATTAATATTTACCCATAAGGTTATGGGTTTCTGTGATCACTGTTGTTGGGGGGAGGGAGCTTTAAAGTACTTTGTTGCTACAACGTTTCCCTTTTCCTGAGATAGATCCTTTGTTGTTACTTTTATGAGTCCTTGCAGTGATAAAATGTCAGAAAAGATCTTCCATTCACCCTTGCTCTGGAATTGGTTTAGCTGCACTCAACAATAAAATGAGTAGTTATTCCTGCTCAGAACTTTGAAGACAACACATCTTTGTCTTTTGGCATTTCTTAATGGACCTTCTCCATCTGTCCAATTATTAGCCCTTTATTTTTAGGCCTCCTGGTTTTAGTCTCTCTAGTTCTCTAGTTGATCTCTCTTTCATTGTTGTTTTGATACCATAACATGTTTGAATGTGGGCTAATCCGTATCTGTCTAGGAATTCAGCTTTGGTTTTTTTTTTCTTTTTTTTTGGGGGGGGAGGTTGTTTGGATATATAACCAAAAATTTTATTTAATTCTAAAAACTTGTCAGTCAAAAAATGCTCCTGATTTTCTTCATCCTTCACTCTGGAACTTTTATGTGGATATACACGTCAGTCACCCTCATCTCTTAATCTTACTGTAGCTTTCGGTGCGTTGTCTGTCCCTCTGAACCATCTTCTTCGTGGTTTCCTTGAAGTACAACTTTCCATTCTCTGAGTTGCTCTCTAGCTTTTTAAATTAGAACCAAACCCTTCTGCAATGGAAAATTTAAGAACTCTCTCTGTTTTGCCAATTTCTAGGAGATAGGATTTGTTTTCAAAATTTTCAGCCCCAATTTTGTGATTTCTTAATGTTTTTTTTACTGATATGTGTCTACATAGGTGTTTCTTTGGTGTCTTCAAGTATTAAAATATATTTATATATGTAATCTTTTTGATATTGCTTCAGTAGCTCAAGTGATAAGAATGTGGCCCTGTTCCCTTTGTGGTGTCTGCTTGCTTATGTTCAATGTGGGTCCTCCCTTTGTGTGTTATCATGTGACCATGAGCAAACTATAGTGGGATTTTCCCCTGTGTATGTTATATGTGAGCAGATTGGGAGTGGGTCTGGAGTAATGCTGGTTTGTGTACTGGGTGCTATCTGCAGGGATCTGCAGGGCTCTGGTCCAACTAGATACGCAAAAAGAAAAGAGTTGCAGCTCTCCAAGGGGGAGCCAGAGCAAGGCAGGCTGCCAGGCCTCTTCCACAGCTGACACTGTCCTGGGGTCAGTGGCAGGAGGCAGCTAGGAGCCAAGGCCAGAGGTCACAGAGCAGGAAGTGGCTGTGGTATTCTTTGAACCGATTCCAGCAATGAAAGTTTCAGGAGAGAAAATTCTTCCCTGGAGTGTTACAGCTCGATAAGACAGCCACTCTCAGAGGATCTTTGATGAAATAACTCATGCCCTTTATTCCTTGTGGATAGGACCTTATAAACATTTGGGGGTGGGTTGGGATCTAAAGGCAGATGCTTTCTATTGACTTGGTCTGAGATGTTAGGGATGCCTTATCTCCATGTGGTAGGACTTCAGGCGTTGTCCTTAATGATTGATTGTCACAGTCCTTCCCAAGGGGTGTCGTGGAAACATGTTCCAGGACAGGAACATGGTCAACAGTAGATTTAAACACCTACAGTTTTCTATTATGAGAATTTGCCTGGTTCCTGAATCCACTTGACCTCACTAGGTTTTCTGTCTGGTGGCATGGCCCCACAGGGTAGCATGTGTTCTACATCCTCAAGTGGACTTTGTGCTCCGCTCCGGGATCACTATTGCTTTGGAGATAACTTTGTATCAACTAGTTAGCTCAGGATGAATTTGCCCTTCGAGAGACGTGGGGAGAGGTCATGGCTTCATGATGAGCAGCAGTGAGGTCCCACATTGCAAGTGTTCATGCTTCGTTCACCGCCACAGAGCTGTATGCTGTTGGTTGAGAGTGGGTGAGC